CAGGAATAGCTGAATACAGCAAAGAGCAGGTGAGGCAGGTGTTACCAAGGGTAAGAGTTTGGTCCCTCTTTATGGGTAAAAAAAGGTGGATTTGACCCATTCTGTCACTTTGCATACAGCTCAAACTCCCACAGAGGTAAATGGGAATCATATAATTGACTTCAAATGAGCATTTGAGCATGCCATAGGCCCTGGCATGAAAAGCTCATGCTGTGAAAGTTAGTGGAAACTAGCTATTATATAGCATTGTCACATAAATACACATTTACAAACAGTGGTACTTAGATATGTGTTTCTCTATGGAAACAAACTTCTTTATATGGAAAATAAACTTTCCTATGCAATTTCCATTCATCTATCAATGATAAAGATAAAATACCTTGCTGTCACAATTTGATGCATTTAGCAAGTTTCACTGATTACTAGGCCAGATTCTGTCATGTTTCTTGTTCCTGTGAAAGTCCAAACCAAAAAATCCAGCCCTCGTCATTTGTCATACTCTGGCCAAACTAATGTTGTTATTCAAGCTCCAATGTTCACACTTATCTCATAGCAGCCTTCAGTATCTGAAGGAGGCCTACAAGGGTGCCAGAGAGGGACCCTTCCATCAGGGACTGTAGCAATAGACAAGGGGGAATGGGTTTAAACTGAAACAGGGGAAGTTCAGTTTAGATCTAAGGAAGAAGTTCTTTACTGTGAGGGTGGTGAGGCACTGGCACAGGCTGCCCAAAGAAGTGGTGAATGCTCCATCCCTGGCAGTGTTCAAGGCCAGGCTGGACAGAGCCTTGGGTGACGTGGTGTCGTGTGAGGCATCCCTGCCCATGGCAGGGGATTGAAACTGGATGATCTTAAGGTCCTTTCCAACCCAAACCATTCTGATTCTGTGACCTTTCAAATTAGTGCAAGTCCCTGAAAAAGTACAGCAGGAAACTGTGAAATAAAGCTGAAACCTTGTGGAATGTAAACTGCATGTGATTTGACATGTAGAATAAACTACAGCATCACAGAGGCAAGACTCCTTACTAAACCTAATGTAGAAATTTGCCTGAAATACTAGGTCTCTATACAACCTTAAAACATGTATGAATTTATTACGAGTGAGGCATTTTTTCCATCAAAAATCCCTGCTCTCTTCTCATGAATAATTGTAAGGGGCACCAATCAGATCACTTGGGCAACATCTCCGAATTTTAAGGGGCGAGATCTGACTCTTCGTAATCCTTCTGCACAATGGGTTGGAAATTCAGTTACCTAGTAATTTTGAGAAACCTTACATATAAATTAGTCAATGTTCTGATTTTTGTCTGTGCCACTGCCAGCTAAAATGCATTGGGTTGGAGTAGAAAAGTTTATCTTTACATGCACACAGTTGCTGGATGGCGATGCATAAGATGAGGCTTCAGTCCTCTCTTCTAAAGAGACACCAGCTGGTCATCAATGAAAGAGAGTATTCACTTTTATCACTAGCCCACTCGTATTCTGTGAAGATAGGAGAGTAATCTACTCTTAACTTCGAATTGCTACTACTGAAAAATCAATACCATCTCCAAAATCAATATTATGTTATGTTACCCCTCCTTTCTTTTATTGTGAAATAATAGAAAACCTAGACATTCTACAGCTAATATTGGATGTGGGGACTAATTGCTGGAAAAGAGGTACTAAAACAGCTTAAGAGCCTCAGTGTTAATTTTAGTTAGAACAGGTAGGGTTAATCAGTAACTTTGTGTATGTTAATACATATGACAAGTCATTTTTTCAGAAGGGGAACAAAAGCACAGAGCAAAGTGTACTTTAAGCATTAAACTGTGCTGTGGAGTAACTTTAAAAGAAAATATATCCATGTCTGAGAACAGATAGGCTACTGACTTAGAAGTCTTCATTGAGACAAGCATTACAAATTAATGGAACGAATTTTGTACCCAGAGACTTAAGTATCGAATTTCAGAGTGGCTCTAATGGACTTAAAACTGAACTGACAAACTGATAAACTTCATTTCAGCTTGTTTCTTTTATGATCCACACTGATTGCTTTAGGTAGACAATATAAGTCGGGGAGAATATGTTTGAGACCTGACAAAAAAAATTAAAACTCATAATGAAATTAATGGCAGCTGTATGGCTGGAAGCCACTAGCTAGGTTTGAAAATATTGAATTCTGAAGGCAATGAATTTCAGGCAGGAAACAGCCTGGCTTTTTTTTTTTTTTCTTTATCTTGTCACCTACCTACATTATGAAAGGAATGATCAGTTTCTGCAAACAGTTCACGCAAAGCTGACACAAACCCAGCACACTCTGACTTTGCCTTCAGGCAGAGTAAGACACTAGACAAAGAATTTGATCACCCTCTGAAATTTCATTAAGTACAGCAGCCTATGCTTTTAAGGTTCTTAAACAATAGTTTAAAGGTTTTGGTTTTGTAAAAATATATACAGATACAGGTATTATGACATTTAAATGGTTCATTTACTAGGAACCGTATTTCTATGTATGTTCAATCTTTGTAGCGGAAGAGATTCTGTGGCATAAATGTGTACAGATATGTAATTAAATATATGCACATAATGTAGACCTGTTACTTTAATGTGAACCTTTGAAAAAATGCAACATCACGTCCATTTTTTTCAAGTCACAGGTATGAACACAGCACTACTTTGTAATAGCTGTAAATTTATGTTATACTAAAGCTTTGCTGAACCCACAATATAGCAAAGAAATGCTGGGATCTTAAGGGAAATGACACGTCACTCTAGTATCACTGTAGCTGTGATTTGTTGTGTTGTCACTATGAATTACTAGTCTCAACCAAACTAACAAGAATACACCTTTATATACATATACTTTAGTCATATTTATATTAAATATGTATCTCATCAGTTACCATAATAATTGTATTTCAGCATCTCAAGCTTTCAAGGAAAAGAATATACAAGGACTATGCAAATCCTGAAGCAAAGTTTCCTGTTTACCAAAAAGTACCAAAAAACTTCTTTTTGGGGGTTGTGTTGGGAGGGCAGGCTGCTGTCATTTTTCTCAATAACTGTGACATACTACATACATACATTGTACTGTGTGTGCATATAAACACACATATGGAGCACTGCATAACAGTAACCCTGGAAGTCTTAATTATTGTTCAATTCCTTTTCATTTTTTTTAATCTGGAAAAAAATAATGAGAAATATTTTGTAGAAATGTTTTTCAAATTCAGTTGCAATAATATTGCATAATATTATAATAGTAATTATAATATTGGTAGTCATTAAGTTTGAGATAGGATTTAGTGACAAATAGGTTGGCAGAAATGCTGCAGACTGCCAGAATACCTTGTACTTAGGGGTTTGTCTAATGTGTATATTTTTTTTAATTAGTCATCTTCATTTAAATAAAATACCAATCTTACCTTTTTTACTAGTTCAACTTAACAGATTTCTTACTTTTCTGAAGGTTAATGCCTCAAATACAAATGGCAAAATCCCTGTAGCACTCTTGGCTGTTTTTGCTTTCGGTAGTCTTTTTCTCCTATTCCTTTAAGACATTGTGATTAATCATTGTTAACATTAACTAATGGTAAAAATGATTTTTAAAAGATGCTAACATAAAACTTAAAGTGGTCCTAGCCATTTCGTAATAGCACTGGCCTCAAGAATCAGTCACGATAGTCACCAGAAGTGTGACCATTTCTGCATCATTCTGATTCATCTCCTTCATCTCTGCTCTTGCAGTTATATTCTCTTCTGCTGTTCCTGCCCATGATTCAGTCTGTTGTTTATGATGATGTTAAATTCAACTTCCAAAGGAAGTTAAAACCAGCATATAAAAATGATCTCTGTTAAGTTTCTATTTCTCTGTGTGCTTCTTGCAGCTTTCTATGGGAGCTGTTCTTCCTGTCAGTTATATTGTGACATTTCATTGACCTTCAGATAGTTTTCATTATTCATGGATATTTATGACACTCCTACCACAAAATTCCTAAGCCCCCATTGCCTAGAAATTCACAAGTTTGGGGTTTTTTTTATTTCTCTAAATGTAAGACATTTGCTAAGATATTCCTCTAGTGTGAAAAAAAAACTACTGGGTACACAGATTCTGGGATTTTTTCACTCTAAAGCCCACTTCGGTCTCCTGAAAGAGGTTAGCATAGTATACACTGGATTAGGCTCCCCAGAGGTAGTCCCAGTCTTTCCTCTGAACCTCTGGGAAGAGAACAGGCAAGACTGCTCATTACTTTTATAATGTAACACAAGAAGACTGGAAGAGGAAAAAAGATGTGAAATGCAGTAGTCTTTAAGATACTGGCCACAACATGATCATTAAACAACTATATACATCTGTAAAGTAATAGGCTTTTGGTGACAGTCGAGTAACTGCACTCGTACCTTCTCATAGAATAAGATAGCAAAAACTACACTTGCAGATCTTTTTCCATCTCCATCAGATGTAATAAAAGAAACACACTATCTTTGTATAACCGTGGCATATACATGGTCATGCTATATCTTGAAATGTGGAAAAATAATACAGCAGTGGCAAAACATAAGCCAAATTCATACAGTGTTTAGCAAAATGCTGAACTCCCCTATTACTATGTTTTCTATGTGACCTCAAGCTTGTGGTTGTTAAATCAGCATCTCAGTTCCGTTTGGCTTGATTGCTTTCTCCATTAATCAGATTCTTCTCTTGTTGTTCAGCCAAGGATTGCCATTTCTGCCTATTTTTTCTACAGCCATCCAGTAAAGGGTAGCAGGCCTCTGACACATGCGTTAGGGCCTGAAATAAATCAAGAATATGTAAAACAGATTAAATTTAACAACAAAGTAAGTATTCTTAAAGATTACCATGAGAGACCAGAATGAATTAAATATAAGGTGTATTTTTAATTGAAAATTAACATGTATTTTAAGCTTCAAGGAAGAATTCCT